GGCCATGTCGTGCAAAGAAATAGCATGCTAATCAATGCCCTAAGAGCACCTCTGATGCAATTATGGCAATCTGTAGGGCCAGTGACAGTTGTCAAACTATTGTTGCTTTCAAGTAAATTTCTTTTCTGAAGTTTTAAAACAAAAACAAAATAACCAAGCAAATAGATACCCAAGTTACAAATAAGAAAGCATGTGTCATTGGAGCTCAGGATGATAAATTCTTGACTTGGCATTACAGTGCCCTCTTGTGTTCAGTTTTGTACTTTAACACATGATGTCAATGCTTTACAATACCTACATAATATATGACACAGCTCACTCTCTTCTAACCCATTTATGAGCTCCAATTAGAAGAGTAAAATTTCCCCAGGAAGATTTTCCCATTAATGAGGCAACTTTTCATTGTCTATACTGACTATTCATGCCTCCAATTAATAGTAGTTCTCATTTTAAAAATATGTTGGGAACATCTGCTATGCATTTTGGTAAATGAATGGTTTTGCGAAAAGGCTTTATTGTACAACTTCGATGGTACCTACTGGCCATTTATTCTACTTGTAATCCTGGTCAATTTTTTTCAATTACTTATTATCTATTTTAAGAATGGCAAACAAAAAATTCTCTCTCTGTATGTATATATAGAAAATGTCCAGATATTGTGTGCGTGTGTGGCAAAAAGGGAACTATGGAATAAGCAAAGTGAAATAAGCTTTACAAAGCATTTGCATTATCATGTTTAAACCAACCCCAAATCTATGTAGTGGCTGGTATTTTTCCAGTTTTACAGTTCAGAAAAACTCAGAGAAGGTAACTATAGACAGATAATAAATGGAAGATCCAGACATTGCACCCATAAAGCAAAGGTTGCAATACAGAAGATGAATGCTATCATAAACATATATGTATTGGTATGCTGGGCACTTGGAAAGGGAAATCATTCTAGTAGCTTTTAAAAGTGATAGCTGTGAAGCATTTAATATGTTAATCAGATATTGAATTCCAGAAAAATTTTTAAATGCTCAACAAAAGCAGGTCTAGAGTTGTCTATGGACATCACAATTTAAAGAAAGAAAGATAACTGTAATCTAAATTACTAGCAGTATTTGTAAGGTAATCTTTCCATATATCTTCTTTGGCTCTTTGTGCTTAACAGAAGTTCAAGAAAAACTTCTACAGATGTCCACAACTTTTATAGATGTTTCAGCAGAGGCAAGATCCTGTGGACCCAGTTCCATTAGCTTCTTTTTAGGAACAAAATAGTTTCATCTTCTCACAGATATATAGGAGTTTCATTTTCTGCCAGGTAAAAGCAGTGAAGAAAAGGAAAACAATGTGGTTGTGAGCAAGTTTTTGATTACAAATCCAGCATTGACTTTAGTTACTTTTTCTCTCCAAGCCTTACTTTTCTCGTCTTTAAAATGGGAATAATGCCGTTTATTGTGTAGGGTTTTTTATGAAACTAAAGGAAATCCATCAGAGCACCCAACAAAGTACCTGGAATATAATGCAGATTTGATTAAATTTTTTGTTATTGAGGAACAAAGCTAAAAGTTTATATTTTAGTATGTTTTGCCAAAGAGCATCTTTTAGTTCATTTTGGGGTTATTTTTTCTGTGTGGAGTAGTCGTTACAGTTGTAGAGAGACAGGTTTTGGGCTCAGCCTAATAGAAAACTGCATAAAAATGGCATGGGCTGCTTTAGAAGGCAAATTCCATTGAGGAAAGACAGTTATTTGAGAGGGATGTTGTGTAGAGATCCTAACTTCCTGCGCATATATTGAATAAAGTGCCTTTAAAACATGTTCCATTTCTAAAATTTCGTTTTCTCTAGATATTTTCCTCCCTCAAGTGTTTTGAGTTTAGACCTTACCAACCAATTCTGTTTTCAGTTCTTCAGACCAGACTATTAACATCTTGCTTTGCTCCTTTTGGCAGGACCAGTGCCATGAATTCCGGAGCATGTTGAGAGATGGAAAGCTCATCTGCACCAGAGAAAACAACCCCGTCCGAGGTCCATATGGGAAGATGCACGTCAACAAGTGTGCAATGTGCCAGAGCATCTTGTACGTGAGGAGGTTTATTGATCAGTTTGATGTGTTGTGCCTGATAGCCAAAAAAAAACCAAAAAAACAAAAAACCAACCAATTCCTAAGTTAAAACTTTAGGCACTTAGGATCACATGTGACAAATATAACAGCTCCTCACTTGAGAAGAGGACAATAAGTTTCCAGAGCACTTTACAAGACATTCATTTTGATGTTGAGCAGCGTAATTATACCTGGAGCATGTGGGGTAGGAGGGAGAGCTAGTGGATTGTGCCCAAATTATTGGCTTTCAAAGAGGAAGCTTATCAGCTAAGTAACGTGGGACAGGCCAGTTCACTTTACAGAGCCTCAGCTCCTCCTGTATGTGAAGGGAACAATAATTTCCCAATACAGTTTTTACAGGTATTTGAGGAGGTAATATTAAACATGTTTATAAACTTTAAGCACTAAAACTATATAATGAACAATCAATACTGAAGAGTTTAGTTGTGCTTTAATTAGAAAAGTGAAAAGGGAGAAATGAAGCAACTCTCTATATGAAACCCATAAATAGATTCTACTAGGGGAAAAGAGTAATGGCCTAAGAGGATCATGTGATTCTGACAGCATAGTAATTGGATTGAGGAAAGTTGAAAGCCATAACTTGTGAAAATTCCAATAAGCAGAACTTATTAGTAAAAAACAAACAAACAAACAAACATACAAAACTATTTTAGATATTTTTGAAACGTGAGAAAACTCTTGGATTTGTTAATGTTTAGAACTGGAGAAATACTTGGTTTAAAAAATTCAATAACAATCCTGGAAAAACTACCCTATCCTTTTTTATTCTGCAGTGACCGAGAAGCTAGTGACAGAAAAAAGAATGATGAAGAAAAATCACACAACAAAACTTCAAATGATAAAAAGGTTATTTCTTTAAAAATATGAAGAAAACTATTTTACTTTGTATCCTCAGATCTTGACTTCTACTCCAGTGTTGGGATAATGAAGATGCTAATGTTTTACCTCAAAGAAAGTTGATTTTGCCCATATTGTCACTTTGGGCATAATCAGATTTTTTTTTTCTGGCTCTGAGGTTTCATGTTTTTCTCAGTTTTGTAGAGAATTCTCCTACAGTGTGTCATTACTTTAGTCTCTTATCTTGGGAGAAATGTGGGTTGAAAAATAAAGGGTGAAATCCTTTTCCTCCTTCCCTGCATGCTTTTCTCTGACACTAAATGTGAAAGGAGGCTTCAGGTGGCTTGCTGACATTGATTTAACAGCGGAGGCAATATTATCTAATCGCAAAACCTCCCCTTTTGTCCTTGATTTATTTTTTCTCTTTTCTCCAGATGATTTTCTCAGCATCAACAAATCAATAGCATGCATGCATGATGCTGCCTTTTCTTGTTTGCTTTTCAAGACTCGAAAGAAGACATCGTCATTCAGCCCTTTAATAGCGATAATCAATCCCATTTGTAGAATTAAATTCCTATGAGAATGTCCTTTGGCCGAGGGTACACCTCATGTGGAAAATAGGGGAAAGGAAGGATGGAAGGAAAGGACACGAGAGACCAGAAGGTCTATCAAGCATTGTTTTATGTTTCTTTGCATTTGCAGGACCAGTGCAAAGAGGTTCAGAAAGGAACAGAGAATGGAAAGTCTGGGCAGTCTGGGCGTTCCTTGGCCTCCGTTGCCAGGATAAGTGCTGTGAGTCTGAGCCCAGAGCTGAGAGGACCTCCTCAAACCCGGTGTGAGAAAACCACCAAGCTAAAGGGAAATAGCCACGTTCACTTCTTTCTCATTTTCCAGGACGAGTGCGCTAACTTCCGGGGGTCCCTAAGGAATGACGAGCTCCTTTGCACTCGGGAGAATGACCCTGTGCGTGGTGCTGATGGAAAGTTGTATAAGAACAAGTGCTACATGTGCAGAACTGTCTTGTGAGTAAGGGTGCCCTCTGACCCCTTCAGCATGTGGAGGAACTGTATTTGTAGAAACTGCTGTTTAAATAAATATGGGCTCATGAACCTTGAGGTGCTTACACTACGTTTTTAGATTCAAGACCCTTAATTTGACAACACCTGATATAGGAGGAAGAATGCTTGGATTTGGAGACAGGAAATCCAGATGTAAGATCTAACCATGATATTTACTAGCTGTCACTTAAAGTTTTTTTCATCTCTCAGGATCATAATTACAAGAAATTATTTCAGAGTTTTGTTCCAAATTAGGTCAGACTCAAAAGAGAAATATATATATATATATATTCATGCCTCCAAATATATAAAGTCAATCTCCAAGGCTAAGGAATTTGTTTTTGAGAAAGGGTTATTCTGATGGACAACCGTATTTGGGGATCAATGTGCATGATAATGGTAACAATGATCACAATTATCACCATCATCATCATCAGTATTCATTTAGCTCTTTGTAGAATTTTTTTTTGAGGAAGGAATTACCAATACTACCTTTTTTTTTATATTCTAGAAAATCTAAGCTCAAGGAATTTATCTATTACATGATAAGAGCTCTAGCCCAGAGCCCTGCTATACTTTCCTTAACGTGTTACCCTGGTCCCTCTCTATGTTCTGTGCTTTGAACATAGAATATTCTATGGTTTCATCCTATTTTATTACAATTGCTTAACTTCCCACTGGAAGTTATAGGAGCTAATTTTTGTAGACATAACTTTAAATTACTTTTTATTTTCTTTTTTAGTCAAAAAGAAGCTTTGGAAAGGGCAAGACTTCAAGAAAGGCCATCCCAACCTAGATCTTCCAGTGAGGAAGACTGCCCAGATTCCCCCAAATCTTCTCTGGTAAGAATGACTCTTTCAGGAAAGCTACTTATTAATTTAATTTGCATATTAGTGTTGGGGGGGGGGTGTTGCCACTGGCCCCCTGTAGATCTCATTTCCGTAGAAAGGCCTGGGAAGGGCTGATTCAGTACAGCCTCTAGTCCTTTTGCCCATTTTGTCACTTGTGATTTCAATAATAACTTTATTAATTCAAGAAAAATAGGACTTATAACTTTCCCTTAACTCAATGCAAGAACTGCTAGGACTTGTTAGTCTATACTTTCATTATCATTCACTTCACACCATTTCTATATTCTGATTACTTTGAGTCATAAGTTATATAAAAACGTGTTATTTAATTTCTGATTACCTAGAGACCTTATCACTATCACATTTATTATCAGTATTATCCCACTGTGATCATAAACTTACATTTTATGACTTTAATTCTTTGAAATGTATTTACACTTGTTTAACAGCCCAGTAAAAGGTTTATTTGATAATAATTTCATATGTACTTGAAAAGAATGTGTAGTCTGTAGTTGTTGGATATAGATATCTATGAATATCACTTAAGTTAAACTGGGTACTAAAAAGGAAGGAACTCTTACCATTTGCAACGGCATGGATGGAACTGGAGAGCATTATGCTAAGTGAAATAAGCCAGTCAATGAAGGAAAAATACCACATGATCTCACTTATTCATGGATAATTGAGACCATTATAAACTTTTGAACAATAATAGATACAGAGGCAGAGCTGCCTCAAACAGAGTGTCAAACTGCAACAACTGGGTAATTTTGTTTTTCAAATATTCTATATCTTTTTCTTTTTGGCTATGCTATCAATTACTGAAAGAAGTATGTTAATATTTCCTTTTATGTTTATAAAGTTACCTATTTCTACTTTTAGACAATTTTTACCATATATATTTTGAAACTATATTTTAGGTAGATGCATATTTAGGATTGTTATTAATGAAATTATTATTTTATCATTAGAAATTATCTTATTTATCTTTGCTAATACTTTTTATCCTAAATTCTACTTATGTGACACTAATATAGATATCTATCTAGCTTTTGTATAATGAATGTTTGCGTTTATATATTTTCCATCCTTTTAATTTTACCTATTGGTTGAAATAGAAATATTTATTTAATATAATATATTTATACTTCTTATAAATATTATATAGTTGAGTCTTTTTGTTTTCCCAGTATGATAATCTCTGTTCTTTAACTGGAGTGTTTATTCTTACTATTATTTAATGTAATTACTGACACAATTGTATTTAAGTCTTCTATAATTCTGTTTTTAAGTTTGATTTTTCCTTTGGTCCTATTTTCTTGAATTAATAAAATTATTATTGAAATCACACTTCTAAAAGACTACAAAGAACAAATATGTTCCCTCTGCTACATGAAAGATATATCTTTAATTTTGGGAGATATACTGACAATTATCATATACTGAGCCCTTATTGTGTGCCAAACACTGTGTTATGCATGCGTTTAAATGCATTATCAGATTTGATCCCCTAAAACACCAATATGAGACAAGAGCTATTATTATTCATGCTGTTCAGATGAGAAACGAAGGCTCAGAGAGTGAGGTAAACCTTTCCTCCAGTTTAGTGGCAGAACTGGGACTCAATAGCCCATGTAATTAACTAGTATTTGCCTCTGATTAGTATTTTCCTTTCTAGATTGCATATAACCAGTGCCTTCATTTAAGATAAAATAATATTATTTTTTGCATGATGACCATCCTAGAATCCTTACTATGGATATGTCTCATTTATTTGTGCCCAATGTCACGTAGAGTTTTGGCTTTCTTGTAGCTTTGTTCTTCCTTATGTCTTGATTTAGCTGCTTATCCTCCCTAGTCTAAAGAAGCCAAATCCGGGAGGTTAAATTTACCTAATAATGGTACGAAATAAATAATGTGAGTTTGTTTGACCTATGTGACAGCTTCTTTACTAGTCATATATTCAAATGTGATGGAGGAAATCAAGGGGACTTTCCCCAATTCATCCCTCTTGCGTGCCATGGAGCAAAGCAAATCTGATTTATGTTTTGCTTGTTCAGGATTCTGAGATGTGCAAACACTATAGAGTATTGCCCAAGATGGGTTACCTTTGCCCAAAGAATTTACAGCCTGTCTGTGGTGATGATGGCCAGACATACAACAATCCATGCATGCTCTGTCATGAAAACCTGTAAGTATACAAGTCTCATCATCATATCTTCTAGTCTAGAAGCTCTTGTCTATAGTGTTTCCCACGGCAGTGAATGGATAGCAATTTGAGGTGTGCTGCAACCAGATGACTAATCAGTGCAGTTCAAATCACATTTTGTGATCATCATCATCTAAAATAAAGGAGAGTTAATGTTATCCCTTTATTGAAATTGGTTATATATTTTACTGAGTCAAAGAAGGAAAAAAGTGGTGGGGTTACAACAATGAGAGAAAATCTCTATAAGCTCGTGTATACTTACAGGAGTCACCCATCCTTTGTCTAATAGAAAAAGTTGAAAATCATTGCTAAACAGAGTTAGCCCTTAGTGCTTCTCGGCCTTTTGGCTAAGATCAAGTGCAGAGTTAGCCCCGCCTATAATCACTAATGGGCCTTCTGACTACCTGATAGTCACAGATTTCCCATCCTCCCTAAATCTTCTTCTTGGAGCAGGAAGTGTTATCATGCAGAAGAAAGCTCACTGGAGCAAATGGCAGACCTGGTGTCGGCTTTGGCTTTCAAGCTTTGTAACTATCTGTGCCTCTGTGGGCCTATTATCTCATCATTATGAGATTCAGCTTCATTGGAGAAGAGGAAACAGTTCTTTGAGTCAACTGACTTTACAGGGCTGTTGCAAAGAATTATTATTTTAAATTGAATACAAAGGATTTGTTTTAAGACTGCATATATTGGAGGTAGCTTTGTTATTGTTTTCCTGCTCAATTGCTATCTGACCCTCACCTCCATCCATAGTCCTAACCTTTTCCCAGCCTCCATTTGACTAGCTTTAAATGAGAGCATGGTGATAAATGTTAACTTTTCCCCCTCACTTTTCCAGATTTACATGACAATCTATGGGTATTCTGTCCTTCTCAGGACACTATAAGCAAGGTCCAGAATAGGAGGATGGGCCTGATAGCCTGCTTTTCAATTATAGAGAAATATATTTGAAATTACATTTATGTTCTTCTAAGTCAAATAACTCATAAAAGAAAAATCTGCTCTACACTTCATATACTTAGAATAAAATCTGAATATAAGAGCTTTATATGATCTCACATCTGCACACTAGGCACTTTCACATTCACCCCTCTCTGAATCCTCACTACCTGTCATGGAGTGGTGATAGCTTCATTGTACAGAGCGTGAATCTGAAGCTCAGAGAGTACAGGTAATTTGTTTAAAGTCACATAGCTAGGAAGCAGATCAGACAGGATTTTAACCTTGTTGCTTTGGGGATAATACGGTTTTCTTTCTGCCACACTGCTGTTATATGCCAGGCAGTTCTTCCTTTAAAAATTGGAGGTCAAAAATTCCTTTGATAATATGAAGAGAGTTATCACTTTTCAGAAGAGAAAAGAAAATTATGTGACATTAACAATTTTTATGCATATCATCTATGAACACATTGGTCTCTTGAAGTCCATCCATGGGTCTTACAGAGTTTTAAGAATTAAGGAATCTCTGTTTAAGGGATGAATACAACCATTCAGGAATTTGTTACTATATGATGCCTTATCTTTAGCCCAGAAATTCTTCAATTTCTCTTTATTGTAAATGTAGCCAATGTTCTTCAAACATTTTGTTAACTATATAAACCCATAACAAGTGGATTTCTATTTCAAGGAACTTTATAGTGAGAAATCCCAATGATAAAAATATTAATAAAAGCATGTTTCAGGAAGGATTGTTTAGCTAAAGATAATAGAAACTGGGAGTATATATTATGAAGAGAAAATTTAGGCTATCCCAGGCAAAAGGAAACAGTATTGGTTTCTGTTGTCTTAGAGTAATCTAGAGGGAAGCAGTTTCAACCTGAGAATGCCCAAAGACAAAATGAACTGTCTTGTTAGACAGTAAATTTCCCATCACCAGTAGATATTTGATATGTAATATTTCTTAAGAGGCCTTAAAAGTCATATCCTTTAAGTCTTTCTAATTCTAAAATACCTACTATATGATTAAATCTTGTTATACTTTATAAAATATATTTATATATCTATACCCTCTATCTATTTTATATGTTTATATAAATACATTTATATGAAATATATTTTATAATCCCCAAGTCACATTATCAGTATTCAATAAAGTCTCATTTCTCTCTGGAATCCCATTTCCCCATCTGTAAAATAATGGCTTTTGGACTAAATGATCTCTAAGTGTATTTCTAAAGTTCAACAACTCTGAGTATATTGTGAATGAAATGTGACAGAATAGATCCAGGGGTGGGGAAAAAACGCTGGAGCTAAGTGAGAAGAGAGAGATGAAACGTGATGATGCCTACTAGAAAAGCTGAATGCAGATCCCAGGACCTGCCCCTGATTTCAGTTAGGGTTTGATGCTCAACTATCACCCACATTAATCCTTGTTGTTTTCCTTTCCCCATCTCTGAAAATTACTCTGTTCTGTTTTAGAATACGCCAGACTAATACACGCATACGCAGCGAAGGGCCGTGTGAGCAGAATAGCCCCCCAGAAACAACACCCCTCAGTGTGCCAGCATCTGTAAGTACACTGGCATCCATGATTGCGGTTTTTAGAGCCAGTTGATGAAGATAATTAAGTAATTGCTGAAATATGTGGGAATAATAATGTAGTAGTTAACATTTAAAAATGTTTCCTGGGATCCTTAATAGATTTTTTTGGTAGTGATGTCCCTAACAACAATTTCACAGAGTAGGTTTTCTTTCATATGGTCTACAATAAAAAATGAGACAGAGACCAAAAGACGTCAGATAGCAAACAGAACTGGATTTAAACCATTTCTCTGTAACCCCCATATCCTTGAATTTTACATTGTATTAAATGATCTTCCCTAATGAAAAGGTGACCTTTTCATTTAAAGTCTTACAAGGATGTTTTGACACACATTATTGAGTTTGACATTCTCCCTGGTGCTTTCATTTGAGGAATCTCTTCCTTTAGCAAGATGGTATGTAACTCGGGGGAAGGGGAACTGAGAATATTCAAATAAGATAAATTTTTTTTGTTACCAGATAAATATGGACTCAAATTCCAGTTTTTGATGGTCTTCATATATGAGACCTTTGGCAAATCACATAAATATTTAAGCCAGCAATTTTCAGCTACTGTGGCAGAAGAATTTTTAAAACATGCAACACCTGACTATGTAGTCAGGGGCACTGACCTCTTTTCCTTTAGATTGTCAAATCAAAAAATGACAACAGCCAACACCACAATGGCCATCCGGTATGAAAGAAACAAAATTATACCTAAATTTTTGTGAGATTAGGAAAAGGTATATATTTTAGTATGCTGCAGAATTTTACTAACTAGTTTATGTGAAAATCACTGATTGAAACAAAAGATCTTACTGAGTTACTGAAAGTATTCAAGAAGTGCTGACTTTTAAGCATTTGGCACAATGTCTACAAATTCATGGCATTTATTGTTATTATCACTATTATTATTATGCCTAAGAGACCAAAGTATGAATTTAGAGAAACATACCCTGGCGCCGTGCTTATTTTTAATCATTTAGTGAATTCTCTCTTAATAAATTTATATTTGATATTCACAAAAAATTTAATTAAAATAAACAATATTTAATGAATAAATAATTATTGATTTTTATCCACATTGTTATTTTACTCCCTTCCATAGCCAGCTCTGGCAATATGGAGTTGGAAACTGTTTTGCCACATTTGAGAATCTTAAGTAAACTACATGAGACCATACTCAAAAGAACTACTCAGTGATGCTTGATATGGGAAACTGGAAAAACAGGAGCTATAAGCTGTTTCTGCTTTCATACTAACAGCTGGAAGGCAGGTAGAATAGGTGGAGCATGGGCTGAAATCAGGACATTTTAATTTCTTATTTGGGCTTGAGAAAGCCATCTGTCTACTCTGGGTCTTTACATGTCTATAAAGAGAGGGTTTAAATTTTTGCTCCACTCCCCATATTGTGTTGGCTCTCTTGTTGCATATAAACTCTTAGTTATTTGCCCCTCATTTTATTGACGGACATACTGTCCCCCAATCTCACAAACACAGCTGGTCACATATATTCTAGAACAGGAAGGGGAAAATAATCTTTATATAAATTTTATAGGCTACACCTTAGGCACACCTTCTCATTTAAACAACTTGACAAAAACTGCTTTAGGGGGAAGTTGCCATAGGAGCATATGATAAGATGTATTTGTTCAAATAATGAATCTTGCCAGGCTAAGCACAGAAGGTTTGTAAGGGAGTTCCTTCCTTTCATTTTTGGGCGTATTCTTCCCACCAGAGGTATATATCCGGCATTATTAATGACAGGAATTATTTATGATGTTAGCTGATGGATCAAGTCATTAGAACAAAAGGTGTCCTGGGTGTGATTTCAGTTCCCGCTATGAGTCAGTGCTGTCATTTTGGAATCACCAAGGTGGTATGGGTGGGTCATGGCTCAGTGTTGCTCTGATAACGACTCTGGATTCATATCCAAGAAGTTGGAACCTATTGCCTGACCATTGTTCCTGGGTGGAAGATAATCTAAGAGAACCTGGACTCCCAAGAATGGAATAAAAGGCTTTTCTGGGAAAATAGATTGAGGTTCCCGGAACCCATACTTTTGCTTACTATCTAATAAGGACTTTTTATTATACAGTAATTGCTAAGATGAATGTAACCCTTTAGAGTTACATTCACAGTGGCCCTGTAATTAGGGCAGAGGCCATTATCTTTCCCATTTTATAGAAAATCATCATGCAAGAAATGCTGCAATTTATCAGGGTTATTCAGTATTATATCTTGAGTCCAATGTAGATCTTCTAACTTTACTTCTTATGTTCTGCCACCATCCTTTAGGTTCAGGACATTCTAAGCACCTGGGGCTCTGGAGAAGGCATTATCTCAATTAAATAAAAATTAGCTACTTTGGAAGGAAATTACTATGTTAAGGATAATACCAATACTATTTTCTGTGGTGAATAAGCAATGCGTCTCAGTTTAATGACAAAGATTTTCAAGGATTTAGCAGGACCATAGCTTGTGATTTTCAAACCAAAGGAAGTCTCACCATTTCAATTTCAATGTGAAAGTTTAAATGGAGGTTTGAGTTTGGAATGATAGTACTACTAGGGCTCTAGGTGGTAATGTATAGTTATATGGAAGATTCCCTTAGGCACTTGCCCCCTTTTAAAAAATTTGTGTTGATTTAATGTTTTAAATGTTGATTTAAAGAGTATATGAATATTGGATGCATCAGACAAGGAAGATTAGCTGGTTGTATTCTCATGGCCTAAGACAAACAGTGAGTAAAACATTAGTGTTAGAGGAATTGGATTTAAGTTCTGACCAAATGTGAGACTTTGGGAAGTCACTAAACTTCTCTGAAGCGCAGTTTCCTCCTCTGTGAAATAATGTTAGTAGCACCTATCTCTTTGCATGAGGGTCACATGTAATAGAGAGTAGACTTTATTTCTGCATCCACCTCAACAGGGAGTTTGTACTAGGTGCTCAATAAAGGCTCATTGAGTCAATTGAATAAAATGTGAAAGTGATTTTAAATTGTGAGTCCTTGATAGACTGCGGGAATCTATGGATTTCTTTGATTATGGTACAGCTATAAATGTACAACCCTCATTTCTACAACATCTCTGAATTTCTTCCATCTAACCTACCCATCTTCTCTTCTAGGTCAAATGATGTGAGGATTGGTGAAAGCCATGAGGGACCATTTATATCTTGATTCTGAATTGCCTACCTTCACCATCTGTATATACAAAGAATTCTTCAGAGCTCGTCTTTATTTACTATAGAAAACAATAGAGACTGTTGGGGGAATGGACTTGCTGACTTCCAGTCTTCTCCATCTCTTTCCTCCTAGATTCTGCGATCAGAGGGCACAGAGACATCCCCATCCAGTCTGTGCTCTGCAGACCCCTGATCACAATGCTGTCTGTCCAATTACTTGTTCAATAAAAGTAAACCCAGCAGAACACCCTTTTCGGGATTTTTTTTGTCACTGCCTGACAAATAGGAAATTGTTTTTTACAGAAGTTGAATAAACTCTACCCTTTTGTCTGGCTAAGCCCATTGGTGAACAGAAATTGCTCACTTTTTTTCTGATTCAAGTTGTTGTCACAGTTGGAAACAGAGGTGGGGAGGTATGGGCTCCCAGGCAGCCAGCAGCTATATAAAGTCAACCAACTATGAATCAACCTCACCTTTACTATCTGTCACTTTACCAGCTCCCCTATCTGGCATCTCTATTTCTGTGAATAGCATAATTACCTCTCAGTGAATAGGCCTCATTCAATGACACAAACCAGTAATTTTTCACATCTAATCTTGTTGCCTCTTGACAATGAATGTCTATAGCAGGGCCTTGGTTGCATATTCTGGGAGAAGACAGGAAATGAGAATTCCCAATGTATGTATGTCTCTAGAGCAGCACTGTCCAATAGAAATATGAGTCACATATATCATTTCAAATTTTCTCATAGCTGTAAACCAAAAGGGTAAAATTAATTTTAATAATATATATATTTTAATTGTTTAAAGTATTACATATGTCTCCTTTTTCCCCAATTGACCCCCTCAACCCCCCCACCCGATACCCGAGGACAAGCCCCCTTCACCCCATTGTCTGTGTCCATTGGTTATACTAATATGTGTGCATACAAGTCTTTTGGTTGATCTCAAAGCCCCCCTCCCCTGCTATTTGTCTCTGGATCTATTTTTGTTCATCAGTTTATGTTGATCATTATATTCCACATATGAGTGATATTTA